GTGTACCAGCCCTATTGTCCTAGGAATTACAGGAAGGGGAGTGCGAGCAGATAGTAAGGAAGGAATGCCCGAATGGGTGAACAAGCGAATCTATCCAGCCAACGTCGAAGCTTAGAAAGAAATAAGCTTGACGTAATATGCAATTATTTAATCTGCTCTCCCGCCCTTCCTATGCGATTCTTTCTTTTGCCTAGAAAAATGACTTCCGTCGACGAGAAGGGAAAGGCAAATCCAAGGCTCGATGTAATTGACCTTCCTTGCTCAAGCAATGGAACTCTAGTGAGGGGGACGTTCTCAAGAAAGAAGAGAAGGTGATGAAATCTCTTCGACGTCTTCCATAGGGAAGTATCTCGGTGCTCCAATGATTCACCCGTTGGCCTTGAAAAATCTCAAAAGACATAAGCCCTTATATTAATATATTAATTATTATGAAAAGAAAAAGAAGGTTCGCCTTTACTAAATATAGGCTAGCTTTCGTCAATTTCATCTTTCAAACCAGGACTTCACTGAACAAGCAAGGCAAGGTATGCCAGGATTTGCGTAGAAGTGGATCTTCGAAAACCACTCGTGTCCCGAGTTAGAGTGGGTGTGCACATCCAGCGTGTCGAGTATGAGGGGCTGCACACAATCTGCTTCAATTGCGGGGATTCCAAACCTGTTAACAAACCTGCTACTAAGACGGTGGCGGAAAGCTCCCAGACGGCGGAGAACAAAGGCGACTCCAACTTGGAAAGTAGTAACAATAATCCCGAAAATCCTGGAAGAGATGAATGCTATGGACAATGGCTCCTAGTCAAACGGCGATTTGGGGGGCACCAAGTCAGGGATCTCAGGTACCCAACTCATGGAGACAAGACAGACAGACAGGTACCGATCCTACTTTGACTTCGCTCTTCTCTTCAGATTCAGAAATGGAAATAGAATTGATTCAAACAGGAAATCCTGTAAGGTGCGGTTCTGCTGGTCTGTGCTCAACCTAGTTGGATAGGGGACGGTAGGCGCCGTTAAGGCGTGAGTCGCGTAGCAACGATCAAAAAGAGCGAAAGGGGGTGACTTTACTAGGTATACTGAGTATAGTAGCTCAGAGCCTGGATGACTTCTGGTTGAAAGTCATAACAAGGTAGCCGTAGGGGAACCTGTGGCTGGATTGAATCAAGAGAAAAGAAATGAAAAAAAAACCATTATGCCTTTCAAGATCTGCAATCCCAATAAATGGACATATTTCTAAGGGTAGAAAGATTGATAGATCAGGATGATCTACAGGGTTCCATCTAACTGAATGAAATTCTTTTTTGGAAGGCCCTACAGCCTTAAGAATTGAATGCCTAAGCTATCAGAAGTGAGCATAGAACGCAAGCTCGTCGGGGTCCAGAATACTAACTCCATGGCCACTGGACTGAGCAAGTGTAGCCAATCTGCACACTTATTCCCTTCACGTAGCACGTGATGAATGGAAATATGTTGGAAGCTTCGCATGAACTGTAGACAGTCAAAGATGATGTTGCTGAGTATGTGAGTGGAGGTCAATTACATCGAGCCTTTAGTAGAAGAACAGCTAAACTCGAATCTACTTGCACCACTAGTATACCAATAACCAAAGCCTGAGCTAACTTGAGTCCCTCTCGGACTCCGACTAACTCCGCATGAAGCACAGAGGTGACTCCTATATTGACAAGAAAACCACCAACCCATGCTCCATTGCTGTCGCGAATCAAGCCACCGGCCGAAGCTAACCTTGACTCTTTCACCGCACCGTCCGTGTTTAGAGCAAACTCACCTTGTTCCGGCGGAACCCAACGAAGTGTTCGAGTTAGTCTCTCAACTCTACTAGCCCAAACCCTCACGATATCTTTACTAAGCTTGGTAGCATAAATTCACCACTTTCAAGTGGGAAGAAGAAGACCCTGAAAATATATGCTGGCACCGACTCTTCCAAAGCCCCATTCAACGCTATCGCGGCTTACCAATAAATGCCCTTTGAGCCCTAAACATACTGCCTACCGGTGAAGCAGAATTAGGGGCTGTTCACTGCTGCATCGCTACTCAGTGGCACCTTCGTACAGTTTGGTGAATCGAAACCCATTGACGTGATTTGATATTTCAATTTAAGAAGTTGAATAGAGGAAACTCACACCGGGACCGCCTTCACTCAATTCAATTAAAT